TATGTGTGTGTCTGTGCGTATGCGCGTGCGTGCGTGTATGTGTTTGGGTGTGTATGTGTGTGTGTGTGTGGAAGTGTATGTCTGTACTTATGTATGTATGTAATATGTATGTGTGTCTGTTAATGTGTGGATGCATGATTGTGTACCTGTGTGTATAAGTGCGTGTGTGTATGTATGTATGTATGAGTGTGTGTATGTGTAGCTATACGTTTTTAACTAACCTTTACGGCTCCGCGTAACAGCAATAAGATAAAGATGATTGCAATTCCCGTTGTAACAATCGCGATCAAAGTCGGGACTCTATCGTCTGAAAAAGTAATAATGATAAATAATCTACGTCTATTTCAATAGAAACTGACGTATGATTGTGCAAGTAACATTTCCTTTTATACACATTGCATAAAACTACTACAGGTTATATCATACGTCTCCCTGGCCTGCCGTCCATGCTTAGGAGAACGATTAGAAATCCTCCGATGCTCAGGTTCGCCAGCTGTAGATGACAATAAATTTACATGAGCTAGAGAGAAAATTGCGGAAATGATCACGAAGGTGGTGAACACCATATCACAACAGATAACACACGACACTCCATTATAACGCTGAGACAAAGCAACAGATAACACACAAAACTCCACAATATAACACAGATATCGCAAAAGATAACACATGGCAAATATGACACGAAGCCAACCTCACCAGGTAGAGGATGGCGATGGTGATGGCGCCAGTCCGCCAACTGCAGCCGCAACAGCAGGTATTCTCTTCCCTGGGATTCGCTGCTGACGGGGCGGAAGGTAGTGGGTGTGCGTCCAGCTGCAGCTTTTCCTTCGTTGGGTATTCCATGCTGCACGGAAGGAGTGTTATGCGCACACAATGTATGAATGTGTGTGTAAAGATGCACACACACACACACACACACACACACACACACAACACACACACACACACACACACACACACACACACACACACACACACATATATATATATATATATATATATATATATATATATATATATATATATATATATATATATATATATTATGTATATATTATATATCTTATGTATATATATAAATATGTATAAACATGTATATGTACATGTGTGTGTGTTTTATGCATACGTATGCGTATATATATGCATAAATATATAGGTTAATACTAAAAAATCCGGCAACTTCCGGACATGAGTGCCGGTTTTCGAAAAAGCTAGATTTTCTATGGTCATATATGCTGTACATTTTTCACAGAAATTAACTTCATGCACATTCCTGTAAAGAATATTAAACGCTAAATGAAAGGGAAATGAAATTTTGATGTTTACCAATCAATTTAAATTTCAACCGTATGAAACTGAATGAATTAGGATTCAGAATTTTAATAATAACTGCACCCCCGAAAAACGAAATAGAAGGGTTGCCAGGATGATCAATATACTTTTCGAAGCTCCACAGAAAAAGACATAATCAGCAGTATACATACCTTGCAGTATTTAATTCCGGAATACCAACCAACCAGCACTGAACACTACTTGATCCTTATGAATTTCCTAGTTTTGTACTATACTCTTCCGTTCCTTTCTTATGTGCTGTCAAATTCCTTCTCACGCTTCTTGCCGTGTGCAATCCTTTATACGGTCCCGGGTCTGTGGTGTTGCCGAAAAGCAATTATTACATATTTAACTGGATTATTTACATTCTTCTTTGTATTTATTTCAGCATAACGGGTGATACTTGGTGGTAACACTGATAATTATAAACGAAGTCTATACCATAGCAGCCAAATATACGATATTAAACAAAACTGTTTGGATGACAACGTTCACGATGTTGCCACTACGGGTGAAACCTCGACTACGCTTAACTTATAAATGGCATTGTCCCTTCCTCGCTTCTTTCGGAACATATGTGTGATTATAGCCTAATGGTAGTATAAAAAAAAAAAAAAATACGCTAGCTTATTTAACCTAGTGGGGTGTTATGGGAAAAGGGGAATTATCGCATGAGCCTCACCGCCTCCATTTCAAAAACGACACCTGTGTTCTAGGAAAATGTTGTCTTCTAGATGTGTATTTTTGTGTACTTAAGAATGTTTGTTTGCTTTTCCCGGTGTTGTGATTGCATTTTTTCTGATGTTCACATGTAGAGAGGCTGAACATGCACTACGTAATTACATATGCAACATACACATTCTCTTCTTTCTGATCACCTTATCCCTGTCACCCTTCATCTACCCTTCTGAAAATGTTCAAAGTTCCTTTTTCTTTTTCTTTTGTCATTTTTTATTTCTTTTGTTTTGTGTGCTATAACAAAACTGATCCCTTTACAGCAAGTAAAATTGAACTTCAGTCCTTCCAAGCGTCAACTAAGACAGTGCTTACACCATGTTATGAAATGCACGTTTCCCGTTCTCTCATGGTTTCCTGTCGCATTGAAATCTTCGGGTAGCCTCACTCGAGTTGTGCTTTAGTTATACTAAGTATTACGTTTTCTGTA